CCCCCCCCACCAACACTTGAAGTCCAAGTGATGGGAGGACAAAGGAGGGGGAGGGGCTCCCACACAGCTGGCGGTGGGCTCCGTGCAGACAGATGGGGCACGGCTGACGGGCTGGGGCAGGCAGGGGCTGCCGGGTGGCAGAGCAACACCCAGACAAAGGGCCTGCAGCACCTGTCCCAGCCTGAGGAACGGCCAGCTCCCTTCCGAGCTGAGCCCACCACTCGGCTCAGGGACTTTCTCTCTATAGCAGGCCCAGAGCAGGCCCTTCCTATCAGCCCACCCCTGAAGCCACAGCCCCCATGGTGGCCCCAGGATCCCCGGCTACCCTGCGGGTCCCGTCACCCTGGGTCAGCCTGTGTGTGCGAGTGCCATGGAAGACAAGAGGTGGGGTTGGGTGGGGTGCAGCTTCAGAGACCACTTGTCCCCTGACCTTAGCCTGTGGCCCTCACCCTGAACTGGGTCCCCCCGCGCTGAGGACTGGGCAGCTGCGACGGTCACAACAAAGGTGGGAGGTGGAGTGGAGACCCAGACACACCAGGAGGCACAGAAGCCTCCCACTCCCACCCCCCACCCGTCGGTCAGACTGGGCCCAGGGGGCTGGACGGAGGGAGCAGCTGCCCTGACCCCTTTGGGACAGCCCAGGCTGGTGTCCCCACCCTGCTCTCCCCCTCCCTCTTGCTCGCTCGCTTGCTCAGCCGCCTGCCCACTCGAAGCTGACCTTTCCCGCTGCTGCGCAGCTCTGTGCAAAAGAGGGAAAAAATGTCTTTTAAAGCAAAAGCCAAACAAAAGCCAACCGGGTTATTTTTAACAATCTGCTATTTTGGGTCCGGCCCGTCTCCAGGACAGCAGCCAGCCCAGCCCAGTCTCTGGCCGCCGCGCCCCCAGCCCAGCAGCTTCCCTGGTCAAATGGCCCTGGGGTGGTCACTCCCCTGCTGGGCACCAGGCAGTGGGGACAGCAGTGAGAGACAGAGGGGAAAGGGTAGAGGGCCATCAGGAGGCTGGGAAAGGAGGACCACCATCCTTGGGCTGGGCAGAGGGCACAGAGGGCAACCGCAGGGCTGGGAGAAGCATGGGGGATGGGCCCCACCCAGGTCTCCGGAGCCCCAGGGAGGCAGGATGGAGGTTCATATAGTTGACCCAGCAGTCTCCTGGGCTCAGAGACCTACGTCACCAAGGGGCAGGTCAAGGAAAGGCCTAAAGGCCAGTGTCCTCAGGGAAGGGACCAGGGCTCACCCCAGCTGGCCTGCCCGAGTCAGTGAGGAGGCTGAGCCCGCCCAGGTGCTGGGGCCCTGGGGGTCGGGAGCCTAGGGTCTCTGCAGCCCTGCCCCCTCCTGACCTGAACCAAGGGCAGTCGGTGACTCAGCTCCCGCTCCACAGGAAGGAGGCCTGGAGCCAACCCTCAGGATGGGCCAGGGTCCTAGGTGTGGCCGGCTGGAAGCAGGAAGCCCCTCCTACAGTCTGGCATCTGGCCAGCTCCCTGACTGCTCTGTACAGACTGAATGCTGGGCACCAGGCCTCCCGACACCCTGTCCACTCCATGCCCCACAGAGCACAGCTAGAGACCTTGGTAACACCCGGGCAGGGCCAGGCCATTTGCTGTGGGGGGTGCCGCCTAGTCCCCAACTCCCGGTGAGCTCAGCCCTGTAGGGTGAGGGCCTGTCCCTGTCCGGGGAACTCACTGTGCAGGAGCAGCAGGTGGGGAGGGGCGGGAGGGGAGCATAAGGCTCCCAGCCATAGGACACAGGGTCCTAGAGGGACAAATGTCCTGAGTGTTGCCAGCATCTCCTGGTGCTAGGTTGAGGTCTCCCATGACCCCAAGCTGCCCCAGCTAACCTGGCCTGCCTCAGAGGGATGGATGGCCATCCAGAGCTGGCCCCTCCTCCCTGCAGCCAGGTCCAGATGGTCAGCTGGGGCCACAGGAAGGAGAGTTTATCCCACGGGACCCGTGATCTCAGGAAAGCCAAACAGTTTAGTCTCCGCCGAGTGATACTCGTTGGGGGCCATGCTGCGTGTTTAAACCAGGGCAAACACAGGAAGCCTTGGGCCACAGGGTCAGGGAGCCCTGAGAGGTGGCTGGGGGACATCGCTCAAAGAGGAGTGAGCAAACAGACCAGGGTGTGTGTGTGGGGCCCGAGGGGTTGGGGTGGCACGACTTCACCGAGGCCCTGAGGCCAGAGATCAATACTGGGATGATGTCCCAGGATCCCGAAAGGACTGGCTCAGGTCAGGCTCCAGGACCCCAAGCTACTCCCCACCCTGCCCCAGCTGGAGCCCAGCGGGTGCCATGTCCGGCCCAGCCCCTGCACCTGTCCCTGCTCTGTAACCAGACCCACCCGCGGCCATGCTTCCTGTCCCTGCCCTTGGCCAGCCCGGCTGACTCCAGGGCGCTGACCATAGGGCCGAGCACCAACTGGGGCCTGAAGGCCACACCAGGCTCAGCCGGTCACGCCAGGTTCGGCCTCTGAAGGTACCAACAGCTAGGGGCCCGGGGCCCAGGTAAAGCCAGGCAGGGCTTCAGGGCCGCAGGGTGGGGAGGGGAGGTTAGACTCCCCACAGTCCATGTGTTCTGTGTCTGGTCTTCTCCCCAAGTCTTCCTGTAGCCCCTGCCTCAGTTTCTCCGTGTGTTTGGGGAGTCCCCAGTATTCCCCAGAGCTCAATGACTTCACCTGGGCTACCTTGCCCTTCCCAGACCCTCCACGTCCCTCCAAACCCCCAACCACAATTCACTGTCTATGCCCACCCATGGCACCTCAGCGCCCCTCACCAAGGAAGGCACTGAGCCTTCGGCTGCCATCTTTGGCCTCATTTCCAGCCACTCGGCCTACACTGGGAGTGCCACAGCTCCCCTGGCTGGCTGTCCCCTCCAGCCCCCAGCCTCCCAGGAAGGGGACGGGAGCTTTGCTTGACAAGGAGGAGGGGAGGGGCAGCAGCTGCCTGCGAGCATCAGTCAGTGCAGCGGGTGGGGAGGAAAGGGGCTGGCTGCTGGGAGACTCCCTCGCCAGGGCCTAGCCGCCCACCAGACCGGGCTGCTTGGGGCAGTCTGCAGAGCAGACAGATAAGCAAGAACTCAGAGTGAAAGAGATCCAGAGGGGAGGGGGTCCCTGCTGGCACAGGAAGGGGCTGCAGTCATCAGTTCCTGGGGGAGGGCTCTTCCTAGCCCGTGCCCCCAAGGAAGAACTGTCCCCAAGGCCGGTGCCCAGCCAGAACCTACAACCAGAGAACCCCACGCCCCCAAGTGGGGCCCAGAGAGTGCGTCTCCAGCCCATGCTGGCTTCCACCCCAGCCATTCCCGCCTTACACACACGCGGTTTGGGGAGCCTCTGCAAGGCAGAGGCCCCAGTGTGACCCCTGGGAAAGGTGGACGGAGGGCCCACCCCTCCCTGGGGCGGGAATCGGTCAGCTCGAGGCGGCTGACCCACCTGCAGAGAGGAGCAAGCTCGTGCTGCGGCTCCTCCCAAGCCCCCACTCAGTGGTCCCCACCCCCAGCCCAGGGCCCCAGGGACAGTCTCCAGAGGACACCAGGGTATGAGACCCAGCACTGACAGCCCCCAGCCCCACCCAAGCCCCAAGGAACAGGAAGCCCTTCTGGTGCCCAGTGCCAACGGCTCACCCCACCCCCTGCTTCCCAGGGCATCCGCTCTAGCGCTCAGAACAAAGCCTGCTGGCAGCCAGGCAGGGGAGAGCCCCGACCTTACCCAGTCACTGCCCGACATCCACCCCGCCCCCACCCCAGACCTGCCCAGCCCAAAGCAGGAGAGGCCTGGGTCCTGGGCCTGACAATACCAGCCTGGTCTCAGGCCTCAGTCTCCCCAGCTGAACCAGGAAGTTTCTTCAGAGGGCCCTGCCCCAGGGACAGCCTCCACCTCACGCTGACACCCAACTATGGGGTAAGGATACAAGCCGGAGACCACAGGAGGGCCAGATGAGCCACTGCCCGGGGACTCAGGGAGGAAGGGCAGTGAGCAGTGGGCAGCAAGTCCTGGCATGTAGGAAATTCCTCTAGGATTCCACCTGGCTCCCAAGGAAAGACTCCTTTCTCAATCAGGGTGCTGGCAACGGATGTGAGATCCCCCGGCAGGCCTCAGGGCGGTGGCCCCCTGGCTGAGGAGCTCAGCTATGAATCGAAAGGGTGGCAGTTCAAACCTAGCAGCTACTCAGAGTGAGAAAGGTAAGGCAGCCTGCCTCCTGAGGTCCTGGGAGACCCCAGGAGTGGTTTCACTTTTCCATGTGGGGTCGTCGCTGTGAGTCGGAATCACACAATGGCAACAGACTTGGTTTTGGACTTTGGCACCCACACCTCACCGAACCCCCAAGCACAGTCTCTTGTGCCCCTGGCAGCCTGTGAACCCAAGCCAAGCCAGGAGCCTCAGCTGAATCTACAGCTGCCGAACAAATGGCTGGATGATGGCTGGCTGGCTGGCTGGCTGGATAGATGGACAGATGGACGGATGGATGGATGGATAGTTGGGTGGGTGGGTAGATGGGTGAGTGGATGGATGGATGGATGGATGGATGGATGGATGGATGGATGGATGGATAGT